CACAAAATAGTTATGAGGTCGGTCCCAGGCACTGAGCCCATGCTGAAAGAGATATAATTATAGCCACCAAATTAAGCATGACTGATGATGGAATAAGTGCCTTCAGAGACAGCACGAGAGCTGGAACATGATTCTTACGAAGTTCAGTTAACCTCAGTATATGCTTCACAAGATGAAAGCAGTGCTTACAAATCAGTTTATACTTAGTGTTGAAATTTTAATGTAGTCTACAAAAGTCATATTTAAAGTAAAATGATAATCTGAACAGATAAGACACTTCCAACTTAAAAATATATTGGTTAAAGGATCAACTTATATATCAAAGTCTACTCAGACCTGACTGCAGGCTACATAAATTTGATCCATCAGTCTCTCCATGTTGGACCACAGTGTTTTCCTGAACACTCCTACATTTCCCAATGTTGGCATTGCAGCTCTACCTGGACCACCTAGAGAATGTGTTTTAAATATGGAATTATAGCAATGCTGGTTATATATAATGCACATTATAAAAACAATTGATGTGAGCTAACTTGGACATTGATATGATTTTAAAATTCATACTTCTTAAGAAATTATGGTCCATTGTATATAAATCTTAAAACAAGCATAAGCTAGTTTTTATTAATTTAACTCTCTCATCATAAGGACAGTCAAATTGACAGAATTCATAATCATTTTGTACTAATTATAGTTTACATATTATAACTTTTAATACAGTATGTGTATCTTCACAAAATTTGGCAGACTTTCAGTAAACGTTACAAGTCTCTCGTACACAAAATATCAGATTTTTTTAATGAAGTATTTTTACTAAAGATTTGTCCATGAATACATAGTTTTTTACTGATCTGAGTGGAAAGTGATTTTAATGTTAAGATTTAAAATACTTTAATTCATCTAATAAATCTCAACTTTCAGTTGTGTAATTTCTAAAACCACCTAAATAAATTTCAAACGTTTTTTTTTCAGTAAAACTTTATATTTTTAATCTGTTATTTTCTTTATCCTATCTCTATACAAGGTTGGGCAATTTGACCAACCTCATAACCACCAAACAATAGTGTGAAATAAATATAAACTACCCTTCTTTTCTTTCTAGAACGATTTCAAATTGTCGCATGAAACTACATTTGTTTATCCTATATAGCTTTAAACATAAATTTATACTTAAATTTCATATTACAGTATTGAATTACACAAAACAATAGTGTGAAATAAATATAAACTACCCTTCTTTTCTTTCTAGAATGATTTCAAATTGTCGCATGAAACTACATTTGTTTATCCTATATAGCTTTAAACATAAATTTATACTTAAATTTCATATTACAGTATTGAATTACACAAAACATGGACTACTCATCAGCATACCTCATGAAAAATTGTTATTATTGTTTATTTTACCTTATCTAACCTAAAAAGTTAAAATTTTCCTAAATTGAAAATGTTTTTTCCAATAATACTTACTTCCTCTCAAACTACAGCTATTATTCGACTGTTACAGTTTCTTTGTATCGGCTCATCTATGTATTGGTCTGATTTTTTCTTGCTTGCGTCAGTCTTTTATTGCCCACTTAATTGCCCTTGGTGAAAATATCTGCACAGACCATGTATGTGTATATATATATATACTGTTAATTGGATCCCATCCTGTAGCCATGATGAGAAAGTAAGAAACACTAAAGTGGACAAACCTTCTCCTCCATCTGAAGAAGCCCAAAAGGCAACACCCCAGACAGGATTGTACAAACCTTACTCAACCAAAGGAACAGAACTCATTTGATCTGGAATTATGAAAATTCATCTTCACTCTCCAACTGTGTGGGCAAGCAGCCTTCCATTTGCCCCTGGAATTATGGGGAGAACAAGGAACAACTGTGCTCAACCAAGGACCCAAGAAGGGACCACTCCTCATTTGTAATTACGAGGATATAGTAGACCCACTTACATGAACAATGTACTGAACTGATATTGATCAAAAAGAAGGGCCAAGTATCAAATGTGAACCAGTATTACGCATAGGCTGGTGCTACTCCTACTGACATCTGGGAAAAAACATCCAAGGACCCAGGTAGGAGGCCCCCAACTTCACCCTCTTCTCCAAGAGTGGAGGAATGCACTTCAACGCTCTGGAGGAAAAGCCTCTGTCCACCACCCCAATGACTAAAAACCAGGTATGGTATGGACTCCCTAGCTCCACTAGTAGAAACTAGGGGGGTAATGCATATTGGAGAGTCCTGAGAAACAATGCAATAGGTGAACCAAGTTCCGTAAATTTTTTATAAGCATACCAACCCCGATTTAGTCAATCCAATGATCGGCAGTAAAAAAAATACTCACCCCCCCTCCTTATAATCTCGAAGATGTGGATAAAATGGCCACAGGGAGGAGGTGAAAACTCTAAGAAGAAGAAACTTGTATAATTAATGCAAGATAAAAGTACTGGGAGAAGTCCACATACCAGCCCATATAATGTCCTCCAGCAAGCAATTCAATCGGGCAGCTAAAAACATAGAAATGTGACAAATCTGATGAGATGCAACTCACAGAAGTTTCCTTGCCTTTAAAGATAGTCCAGAATAAGCAATATGGAGGAATTGGGAACCCAATTTGTGAAGATAATCAGGGATAAATTGTGAGAAAGTGAAGTATCCTAATGAATAAAAAGTTGATTTATAGCACCTCGAGAGGAGTTAGTGTGAGCCACATAACACCTAAGGACCCTGGCGGGACATAACAAAGAATCGGGGGCCGAACTGTTGTAAAGAAGAGATATAGCTGGCAAATGGTGAAAAGGATTTATCCCCTTCTCTGGCTGCCAGTGTTTTAGGAAGAAAGAACCTATCTGGGTATAACAGAATATAAGTAGAGTGACAAAAAGTCCTGTGCACATGCAGTGCAAACAACTCAAACCTATGACGTTCACAGGCCAGCAGCAACAAAAAATACACTTTAACCCTATCGCCCTGGGTACCCTTTACCCTTTATTAAACTACTTTTTGTTTATATTATACCAATTAGAGTAGCATAAAATCTTAAATAATAATCCATATTTTAAGTTATTAATTCCAAAAGGAAATATTTTATAAAACCCTGAATTTCCACATTTTGTCTTAGCATGTCATCATCCCTATTTTATCCATCACCCCTCGAAAATGTACGAAATTAAACGTAAAATAATCTCTACAAAATCGTTATTGCTCAAACAGACCATAATTTTTATAGCCTTCAATTTTGTTTGGTTACAGAGTTATCAAAAAGAAAATCAGACCCCTCCTGCTACACCCACCTGTCACATCCTCTCTTTTACAATTCGTTGATAGTTCTCTTTTATGTTTCATTATATATTACCATAACCAATAGAAAGTCAAGGTTTTCATCTATCAAATGGCATATTGTATAACATTTTGTTCTGTACAGATAACTGTCAATTTCACTCTGAGTAGCAACATTGTTCCCGTGAGAAAGTTAACGACTAGCTTGGATGAATTTGTAACGTCTCTTGTTGCATAGTTAGAAAGCCAGGAAAATTTTTTTCTAAAATTGTTTTGAATTTGTCTACTTTTTGCATGTTATTAGCCTATTCTTTGGTGTATTATTTAATTAAATAAAAATTGTTAAGCACTTTACTATAATCACATAATAATAATAATAAATTAAAAAAAAAAAAAAAAGCTCGACTCTCCTCGACAATTGAGGGCAAGAAATAGGAAGATTGGGCAAGTACTTTATTTCTTGTTTTCATATTTATTCTTTATTCATTATTATAAAAGTATGGATCTTTTTAAGTTATTTAAGACTAGAATAGGTAAAATAAGTAATAATAATATAATTAAAATGGTTCATGAAGCACGCATGCAAGCAGCTTGTGGGTAACGTAATTCAATAGCGTAACGTGAGCTGCACGTTCCCTAAGTGGTTTACAACTTATAATGGCATGGATAGCAGTTAGATACGGTTCAAGCGACAATAGAAAAATAAAATTTAATTATAAATTGATGTATAATGTTACAAACTTAGAGCTACTCAGGATAAACAAATGTAGTTTCAAGTTACAATTTGAAGTCATTCTAGAAATAAAAAGGGTAATTTAGGTTTATTTAAATATTTTTTTTTGGTGGTTACGAGGTCAGTCGAATTGACCAATCCTGTTTTGAGATAGGGTAGAG